TTTATACCTTTGTTCTTGTTTACATTTACCTCATCTCAGCAGAAAGAAAGAAAGGGGTAGACAGAAAGGAAACAGAAACTCTATAAAAAATAGTTATCAGGGGTTTGTGATATCCGCACGGAAGGCAGTTTAAGGGGGCTAGTGGTAGTAGTTTACATTTCAAAGATTTTACATTTCAAAGATACAATGGCGCCCTTAAGGTGGCTGGTTAAACCTGTTTTTCACCAGGAGCTAAAACAAAGGTTTGGCTCCAGGGAAAATATGGGCAGAGGTCTCTGCTCCTCTTAGGCATTTCAATTGCAGCAAGTTTATTGCTTACACAGAGACTGAAGGGGGACATGGAAGCAGACAGCACAATGTCCTCATAAACTGCAGGCCTTTGCTTTGCATTCTGTTGTCGCTTTTAGTGACTCAGCTCACGGCCCTTTGTCTCACTCGACAGCCCTCGAGGTGAGGAAATGCAGTACAGGTCCAGCAGCCAAACTGGGGCTAGTCAACTAGCTGTCTCGAGCCCTTGGCGCGAACACCACACTTAATCACGGTTTCAATTTTATCTAGCCTTGTACATAACGAGGGCTACAATTTGTTCAGGAAGTTAGAATTGCTATACCTTCTAACCCTTGGTTCCTGACATTTTCTGGACTTCCAAAACATTCGGCATTTTATTGAAGTATTTCTTCTTCCTACTTGGCTGGCTTCCTTACGGCTTTCGGGTGTGAATTCGAATGGCATTCTCCTGATGAAGCTTTCCCTCCTTATCCGTATTCTTGTTTCCTATCCTCTTTCTTTCTTTTTCTCCATAGCACTGATCACTTACCTCCACATTTTTACTATGCATTTCCCTTATTGTGCACCTCCCCGTACAAGAAAAGTAGCACCCTAAGGAAACAGGTTGCTGTCTGCTTTTTCACTGCTATGCTCCCTGCTCCTAGAACACTCTGGCACTTAGCAGGTTTTCAGTAAATATATGCTGGACATCTCCCTCCTGAACTCCTTCTAATTTACAGTGATCAATATTCTTTTCTATGTGCTTTTGTATTATTTATTGCTCAGAACCTTGGATTTGTATGTGGAATGTGCACTGCTATTTAGTCTGTAGGTATCCAAGTCCTCCCTTCTCAGAGTATGAACTCTTTAGGGCAGTGTCTAACTTTTCAACATCTCCATCATGAGTCTTGCACCTTTTTAAAGAAAATGAGCCAGTGGTTATTGATATTTACTACTATTGTTGACGGCGAAGATCATTATAATTTTGAAAAGGGAGGTTGAATATTGTGAGGGGAAAAATATCGCCAGGGTCAGAAGACTTGGGAAAATGCAAAAAAAAAAAACTAAAAATGAGCACTTTTAGTCTCCTGACAGTGTCTCTGAATCAAATCCATTATTCCGCGACAGCGTTGTCTTAGGAGCAGATTTTCTTTTTTTAATTTTTATTTTTTGCCCTTCTCCTGATTGTAAGGAGCAGATTTTCTTTCCTTCCTTCCTTCCTTCCTTCCTTCCTTCCTTCCTTCCTTCCTTCCTTCCTTCCTTCCTTCCCTTTCTTTCCTTCTTTCTTTTTCTCCTTCCTTCCTTTCTTCCTTTCTTTCTTTCGAGATGGAGTTTCGCTCTAGCCGAGGCTGGAGTACAGAGGCACTATCTCGGCTCACTGCAATCTCCGCCTCTAGGGTTCAAGCGATTCTCCTGCCTCAGTCTCCAGAGTAGCTGGGATTACAGGCACCCGCCACTACGCCCGGCTAATTTTTTTTATTTCTAGTAGAGACTGGGGTTTCACCATGTTGGCCAGACTGATTATGAACTCCTGACCTCAAGTGATCCGCCTGCCTCGGCCTCCCAAAGTGCTGAGATTACAGGTGTGAGCCACTGCGCCCAGCCAGCAGCAGATTTTCTTACATCCGTGGCTCTTTTTGCTTCTGCCATCCTGTTTGAGTGTAAGTAGACCAAAGACAGATGTAGTAGATACCTCAGAAATTCCTGGAACAAGTCATCCACCTTCGTCCGGATGCCATCTGGTCCTGTCTCATGGAATGTAAAAGGAAAACAGCAAGATTTCTCTAGTTAATCCTGCTTGATTTTAGGTTCCTCAACAAGAGAGCCAGGTAATGACTGTAATAATACCGTCTGGGCCAAGGGAAAACTTCCTCTTTGCCCTCCCAAGGTTCATTGAAAATTCCTGGCAAAACACAGATTCATTGGAGAAAAGTTGTAAACATTTATTTCATCACAACTTTACAGGAGCTTTTAGAATGAAGACTGAAAAACACAGGGGCAATTGCCTGTTTTTATTGCTTAAGTTCAGCAATATAAACAGCTGTATAGGAGATGATCTAATGCTAACAGACTGAGTGGGGAAGCCCTGCAAGGCTTATCTGTCAAGATTCTTCTTGACATCTCAGTGCAGCATTCTTTCCTTTTTGTTATGCGACAGGACCCTCTTTTAGAATGGTTGGGGGGGGGTGGTCATATGACCTACAGGCAAACAAGGTACCTTAGAGTGATATTTTTACGTTTTATAGCTGGCTCTGGGGAAAAGAAGTTCTGGTTTGTATGGCCCACCTTGAGGAGGAATCCTAGTTTCTATGGTTAACCTCTGGGGAGAATGGGACTTAGAGACAAAAAGGCAGAAGTTCGGAGAAACACTTTTATGATAATAATCCCATTTTGAGTATTTCCACGTTATGAAGTGTTTGTTCCGTCATTTCCTGAAAGATTCGACTCCTCATTCAGTGTTACAAGAGTTCAGGAAATGCAACTCTAAAATATGCCACTGTGGTATGCTCATGTGAACAGAAGGCACCTAGGAAACAGTACATTCAGAGAGGGGCTTTCTGTGAATTCTTCTCATGAAAAATTTCAAAACTTAGACAGAATTTCAAAAAGGAATTTAGTTGCCAAGAATCACTTTTCTAGACAATCTCATTAACCAGAGAAGATTAAGAGAGGAGACTGGAGGTTAACACCATCTAGACAGACTGTGTCACAGCTATCACCTACGCTTTGAAACACCCATTTATTTTTCTCCCAAATCATATATTTTCCCCAGTTTTCCTACATCCCCCTTCTCTCTCCCTAGGCGCGCACTACCAAGGCTGACTCCGTCCCCACCCCACCCCCCCGGCCTTTTTTGGTATTTTAGTGGACACAGGGTTTCTCCATGCTGTCCACGCTGGTCTCGAAAAAGTCCAGGCCTCCCAAAGTCCTGGGATTACGGGCAAGAACTACCGCGCCCGGTTTGAAGGACTTGTTAAATATTATCTATTTAGAAATTGGTTGGAGTCCACTCCTTTCCAAAAGCATGAGTCACACTCCTGGAAAACTACGAGCGGCTAAAAGTCAAAAGAGCTAGCACAAAACCTCCACAAAAAGGTATTTTGAGAAAATCTCAATTGGGTCAATTATTAGTATTCCAGTGGAAGTCTCGTCAAGCCAGACTCGTCATTGGGTCAGACATATAAACCTTTCACCAGATGGAACAATTACATGCAAATGAAGGATGCAGATTCTGATTTCCCATTGGGTATTTCACATTAGCCAATGAAAGCATTCCCCACAGGCTACCTCCAGTCAGTATAAATACTTCTCTGCCTTCTCTCGTAAGGTATTCTCATTACGATTTTTTGTGGGGCATTTTCTTTTTTCGCTGAGAAAAACCATGTCTGGTCGCGGCAAGCAAGGTGGTAAAGCTCGCGCCAAGGCCAAGACCCGCTCCTCCCGGGCCGGGCTCCAGTTCCCCGTGGGCCGCGTGCACCGCCTGCTCCGCAAGGGCAACTACTCTGAGCGGGTCGGGGCCGGCGCGCCGGTCTACCTGGCGGCGGTGCTGGAGTACCTGACGGCCGAGATCCTGGAGCTGGCGGGGAACGCGGCCCGCGACAACAAGAAGACCCGCATCATCCCGCGCCACCTGCAGCTGGCCATCCGCAACGACGAGGAGCTCAACAAGCTCCTAGGACGTGTGACCATCGCGCAGGGCGGCGTTCTGCCTAATATTCAGGCGGTGCTGCTGCCAAAGAAGACTGAGAGCCACCACAAGGCCAAGGGAAAGTGAAATGCTAACGCTCCAAGCACTGCTGTTTCTCTGAGCAGGCGAAATCTGCCTAACAACAAAGGCTCTTTTCAGAGCCACCTACGACTTCCGTTAAACGAGCTGTTGCGCTTTGGATTATGCTGCCCGTACACGTTTCTGAGATAAAATAAGGTCCTATAACGCTGTAATTTGCACTGCAGAAATCTGGTTCCTAGAAACCTCTTCAGGATATCTAGGTATGTGGGAGAAAAGCCACGCAGCACGCAAAACATACAGGGATGATTCTCGTTAACCTTCACACCAAGCATTTAACTACATCTTGGGGAAAGAAAATTATACCCGTGAGTGTAATAAATTAGTATTTTTAATGAAAATGTTGGAACCCCCGTACCCCATGTGAGAAAATGTCATCAAATTCTCTGCAGCAATTGAGAGAATACACATTACCACTGAACGTTTTGGCATGTATTTGCCAAAATGAGCTTTTTATCGGTTTTCGGGGTGCTTCGTTTTGGGTTGGAGTCGCCCCGTCTCTCCAGCTGGAGTGTAGTGGTGTGGTAACAGCTTACTGCAACCTCGAACTCCAGCTCTAGCGATCCTCAGCCGTCGGAGTAGCTGGGATTACAGGCAGAGGCCGCCACGCCCGGCTAAGAGAATTTTTCTAATTGCCCACACTACTCATTGCCACACCCAGAAAAATCTATCATTTTAAATAAAGCACATATGCAAATTTCCCGACTCGCCTTCAGTATTCTTTGATTCCTTTTTTTCTTTAACTAGAAAATATTGGAGGTTTCCGCGTTGCTTTCTATGGTAGGAAATTTTAAGACTTTAGAAAGCATTTTCCGTTCAAGACTTTTGTCCACAGTGGATCTAGCAGCTAAGTGGTTAACGAAATGACGTCAGAGCAGTTCCAGTAATGGGCAGGACATTGAATTCTCTCCTCAACCTGAAAGCCTCTCTTAGTCTGTAACGAGGCACAGAGATGGACCAATCCAAGAAAGGCGCGGGGATTTTTGAATTTTCTTGTGGCCAATAGTTGGTGTTCTGATGCTATAAAAGAAGAGCAGCTCTCTCTCCTCCACAGACGTTCCTGAAGGCGGGCTTTTCTCTGGTTGTTTTTTTTTTTTGCCATGGCTCGTACAAAACAGACTGCTCGCAAATCTACTGGCGGCAAAGCACCGCGCAAGCAGCTCGCTACCAAGGCGGCTCGCAAGAGCGCCCCGGCTACCGGCGGCGTCAAAAAGCCGCACCGCTACCGGCCCGGCACCGTGGCCCTGCGCGAGATCCGGCGCTACCAGAAGTCCACCGAGCTGCTGATCAGAAAGCTGCCGTTTCAGCGCCTGGTGCGCGAGATCGCGCAGGACTTCAAGACCGACCTGCGCTTTCAGAGCTCCGCGGTGATGGCGCTGCAGGAGGCCTGCGAGGCCTACTTGGTGGGGCTCTTCGAGGACACCAACCTCTGTGCCATTCACGCTAAGCGGGTGACTATCATGCCCAAGGACATCCAGCTCGCTCGCCGCATTCGGGGAGAAAGAGCGTAAATGTAAAACTAACTTTGGATCACTCTAAAACCCAAAGGCTCTTTTCAGAGCCACCTAATTATTCCAGCGGAAGTAGCTGTGATAACTGTCTTACCGTTAAAAATACGGTTCTGTGTCCTCAAAACATACTTGGAAAGATTTTCTCAGCCTAATACATCGTCCTCTAGGTTTTCATTATATATATATATGTATTTAAAACGTTGGCTGTTCACATTAACGGAATTCTGGTGCAATATGTGAGGCAAGGATCTCACTGCTCTCCCCTTTTATCCATAGCTCGCTAGTAACTTCTCTGTCACTGTTGACACAGCATAATTTAATACTTTATTAGTTACTTTATATATATGGCTCTGCTCCTATCGTAAATAGGCTAGTTGGTTGCATTGCTTTTTCTCCATGATTGCACCATGACAAGCCACTGATTTTTTTTTTGCTCTTGCCTGTAGTTACTCAAATCTAGAATTTACAAATTATAAAACCATTTCTTTTTTGTTTGTTTTTTTTCGGAGGTTGGGGATTGAGTATGGAAGATACATTATGGAGCTGGGAATACCGAAAACGTTTACTGTAACATTTTAATATTTTATGTGATTGTAGTTATTTTTTATCACATAGCCAACTTGAGAACAACCACATCGTGTCAAACATTAAAACTTAATTCCAAAGACTGCCTCACATTCTTTTTTGCACTCGATTTTTTACACCTTTTTCTTTGGCCCATATCTACAATGTGAATTGTACCATGCTAAAATCACCTGGCCAACAGGCAACAAACCACACACAAAAAAAGATTACATTTGAATTTCATCATTTATTTAAATTCATGTGTGTCCCAGGTTTTAATAAAGCAGTTTTTGGTTTTCCAAATATTTGCATTTTTAAAAATATGAAAATGAATGTCTTTGTGTTCCACATTTCATTTTTCTTGATTCTTGTACAAGCGACCCTACCTGGCATAGACATCTGTTATCCATAGACAGGGTATGTTAGAGATGCCAATGGACAGGGTCTATGCCACGGTGACTGCCCCCAGGCCCTGGGCCCAGCTGAAGGTAAAGTATTTTGTTTTTTCCAGTTACAGGTGTGCTGAATCTGATGTACAGTGCTTGATTTTTTTCTCTTTCATTTTCTTTATAAGAAAAAAAGTTGTTGGCGGTACAGTGTCTGATGAATAGCATAAAAGAATAAAGTGACATTACTATCTAAGGATAAGATGGGACAGGGCTGGTAGCTCAGTCCAGCTGTTCTCCCCACCCCCACCTACATTCTTTGCCCTCTTCTCAACAGAACAAGGATTCTGCTGTAATTCTTCATTTATAGGTGATATTTAAAAATTAAAGAATGGATGAAATTCTCTGTTGTGAAAGAACATTTACTGAGCATTTCGTATTGGGGAGTAGTGCAACAAACATTTTTATATCATTGCATTAAGAATCTATTGTTTGGTATTAGAGAAGTAATTAAGGTGAGATTGAAGATGAGAAGGGGGTGATTGTGGAATATGCCACCCAAAAGTAGGCCACTGTGGCATGAGAATTCTTTTGAGCTAAAGGCACTTAAAAAATGGCAAATTCAAGAAGGCAATTCTTCTAATCTAACCTTTTCTGTCTAAAAACAGGAGATACAAATTTGAGTGTGAAAAATGGTCTTCCTGTACCAGGAGAAAAGAAATATTCTTCAGCAGAATCATAGCTGAGATAATTCTGCAGAAACACAGCAGGGAGTCATAGCTGAGAGACTGCTATTTACAAACCTTGTTAAAATAATGCTATTTTCCTTTAGTCTACCCATATGGTTTAGTTACTTTCCCACAATTGCCTCTCTTTAACTTTATGTGAAAAGATTTAGCTTTTCTCATTTCTTTGAGTCTTCACTTTCTTTTTTTTTTTGAGACGGAGTTTCACTCTTGTTACCTAGGCTGGAGTGCAATGGCATGATCTCGGCTCACTGCAATCTCTGCCTCCTGGGTTCAGGCAATTCTCCTGCCTCAGTCTCCTGAGTAGCTGGGATTACAGGCACGCGCCACCGTGTCCAGCTAATTTTTTGTATTTTTAGTAGAGATGGAGTTTCACCATGTTGACCAGGATGGTCTCGATCTCTTGACCTCGTGATCCACCTGCCTCGGCGCCACAAAGTGCTGGGATTACAGGCGTGAGCCACCGCGCCCGGCCCCGGGTCTTCATTTTCTTTTAAGTGTTTTCCTGTCCTATAAAATTTATATTAAATAAAAACAAATTTGTATGTTTTTGTTCTGTTAATCTGTTTTATGGCAAGTTAATTCTCGGGTCCAGTTGGAGAAGGTAACAGAGTAGAGGTAAAGTTTTGCCTCCCTACAACATAGAGATTGTTTGCCTTAAATGCTGATTATTCCCAATTCTTCAGCTAAACAGCATTTTTCCTCCCCAGTCACCACAAAGCGAATATTATACTGTAGGCTGAAGTTTACAGCTAATGCTGTTGGGAGTGTAAAAGCAGTTTTGGTTTGTTAGATTTGTGTGAAAAAGTCAAGTTTGGGGTGCATTTAGCAGTAGCCGTTCCAGTTCTTCCAATAGAAATGATTTATGAGTGTTTTCAGGAAATTTAAAACAACAGTTTATGGAGATTTGAACTGCACTCCATGCTTGGCTATGGGAAAGCACGAAGGCTGCTATTGTTACCCACCTTGGAAAAGAGAACAAAGGAATGTTTTTGGACAATTTTAACATGTCACATATGAAAACACAGAATCTGTCAACACCTTGTAAGTTATTACAGGCTGTGATTTTTAAAAACAGTCTCTACTAAGACATACATATTTGCTGGTAGCAACAGAGTGTTGGGAGTAAAATGAGAGTTCAGGGCAATATCCCAACGTCTGGACAGATTGTTTAAGTAGTAACATCTAAATTTAAACCATATTATGTAATATCTCTTTTCCAGTCTGTGTTCTCATGCCTTGTTCAAATTAGGTAATTAAAAATCCCCTGAGTATCATCCGTTAATACCAGTTTTTGATGAAAAAACTAGTGTTTTACAGACGAAGGCATGGTTGCAATGTTACATAGCTAACAACCACCCTCTTCTGAGACAGTACAGTGTGAAGGGACGGACAGGAAAACTCCACCCCTATCCTCTTAGGGCTCTGGCTGGACCAGCAAATCAAACTAACATAAAATAGATTAACAGGAGGAAGATATATGCGTTTATTTAACACAAGTTTTACGGGGCACAGGTGCTCTCATAAAGACATGAAGGCCCAAAAATGCAGTTAGTTGTTTGTATAATGAATTGGACAAAGAACAGTAAACTGTGAAAAATCGCTAAAGCAAAGGAATTTAGGCTAGGATATATAACGGGGTAGAGAAGCTGCCAGGAAAGGCTTGTTTAGCAAAGTTTGTACAGAATTCTCTTGGCTTCAGCCTCCCATCCTTGAGAAGAATATTGCTTTCTTCAAAGCATAGTGAATCATCTTATATATGAGAATTTCACCTACTGCTTTTAAGAAACAAAAGGTCAGCTCTCAAGAAAACAGAAGGCCCACCTGCCCTTTTTTAAATTTCCTTTCATTTAAATAGTCAATATGTCTTCAAGCACGTGAAGGACTTAAAAAGTTTACCACTCTGGCATATTAATGAAAGCCCTAATATAAGCCCTTATTAAAATTCACACTTGAAGGTATAGCTTTATATTCAAACAGTAGTAGTGTAAATGGGAAGGGAAAACTCTAAAGCGATTAAAAAATGAAACTACTTTCTCTCTCACAGTCCTTAGGTCAGTGCCCTGAGAGGGGCGGAGCAAAGGGTGAGGCCGCAACGCCTCCTTACCCTCGCTACCGCTTTCAGTTCTCAATAAGGTCCGGTGGTAGCATATAAATGCTCCTGGCTTAGTTTGTTTTCGCATTTTTTTTCTTCGGTCTAGAACCTGTAAAGTATGTCTGGTCGTGGCAAAGGTGGCAAAGGCTTGGGCAAAGGAGGCGCCAAGCGTCATCGTAAAGTGCTGCGGGATAACATCCAAGGCATTACCAAGCCGGCTATCCGACGCCTGGCCAGGCGTGGCGGGGTTAAGCGAATCTCGGGTTTGATTTACGAGGAGACTCGCGGGGTCCTCAAGGTCTTCCTGGAGAACGTGATCCGAGATGCGGTGACCTACACGGAGCACGCCAAGCGAAAGACCGTCACTGCCATGGATGTGGTTTACGCGCTGAAGCGTCAAGGCCGCACGCTGTATGGCTTCGGCGGTTAATTTTTCCTTTATTTTTCTTCTCAATGGCCCTTTTCAGGGCCGCCCACTCCCTCAAAAAAAAAGCTGTGACTGTATTCTTTTTGAGACCAATGTTTTGGCTTTCTCAGCCACTCTACCTGGTGTGCACCGCTTATATAGGCCAGTCGGGAAACACCAGGTTCTTACGTCTGGGCGGCTGCTGAAGCAGTCGGATTTAAGCAAACGAGATGTCGCTGGGATTCCCCAGGCTACTGAGGTTTCCTCCAGCGGAGGAGAATGTAAAGGGTGTGGACCCCTGGCATCTTGCAGCATTAGTGTTCTATATTGTCCTACGTTTCCTGTAAGTGAACTACTAACTTTAATGCTGCGCTTTTGACACATCAAACAACTTTACCGTATAGCGCTAGTCCAATAAATTGTTCACCTTTTTAGTTTTAAAAATACGCTTTTAAGTATTTGTACAAGAGCTTAGGTGGCAGCCGCCTGCAAGCGGGTAGGGCGATTAAAACAGTCACGTGTTTCCCAGGCACATCTGACTTGAGCAACGAACGTCTGCACTTTCAGCCTCCCTGGTAACCCTTGCCCTCATTAACCCCCTCCAACCTACCCTCCTTAACCCCCCTACCTGTCCGTTGCGCCGGAAGCCTTCGCCTCCATTTCTACTTCAGTTTGGCGTCCTGCTGAGTGACGTCATCTACCCCTTCCCCCTCCCTCCGCCAGCAGTCGGCTGGTTAAAGCAGCTTTGCTATTTTAAGTCCTCAGGCTGGAGGCTCTGCTAATCACGCTGCCTAGGCAGTTTAATTTTCACTTAGTAGACTAAAGGAGTCTTTTATAAATAAGGACTCATAATTTCCTCTTGATACCAAGGTCCGTGACAGTAACTGTAACATGGAAGCCTCCTCTGATACAGGTTCTCAGATGACTTGCGTCTTCACCGTACCTGTCAACCCAACAGTCTTCTATCCCTGCCTTAAATTGGAATTGCCTTAAATTACAAAAGTGATTCTTTTAATTGTGAAAATTTCAAACTGTACAGCGTAGTTAGGAAAACTGTTTCAAAGTTCAATGACCAAATTTAGAAGTCAGAAAAATATTCAGCATCTTTGATTTAGTAACACATATGTCGATGACTACTTCAAGAAAAAAACTTTGTTGCCTGGTGACTTTGCTAGCAAGCCTCTCTTGACAGGAAGACATAGTGCACAGGCAGTTGAATCAGTGAGTTCAGGTGAGAGGTCTGGGCTGGAGATAAAAATGGGAGAGTCATCAGCAAATAAATAAATGCTGACACCAAATGAGATGGCTGAAAACTGAAATATAGCCTGTAATCCCAGCACTTTGGGAGGCGGAGGCGGGTGGATCACGAGGTCAAGAGATTGAGACCATCCTGGCCAACATGGTGAAACCTCGTCTCTACTAAAAAGTACAAAAACTTAGCTGGGCGTGGTGGTGCGTGCCTGTAATCCCAGCTACTCAGGAGGCTGAGGCGGGAGAATTGCCTGAACCCAGGAGGCAGAGGTTGCAGTGAGCCGAGGTCGCACCACTGCACTCCAGCCTGCTGGCACCTGGTGACAGAGTGAGACTCTGTCTCAAAAATAGATATAGATATATGTATAATGTAGTGCAGCATTGTTTCTAATAGTAACGGAATGGGAACTGTAAAGTTGCAGCAGAAGGAACTGGATAGAATGTGATCTATATATCTATAAAATAGACTATTTCTACACAGCCCTAGTAAAAAAGGAGAAAGCTGTACTCCACTACATACATACTCTGGTGTATTCTGGCTCAGTTCTTGAACTCCTCTTTTCTTGGTGAACTCACCTAGCCTCACCACTTACATGCTCAGTGTTCCCTGAAAGTTTATGTTCAATAGGAAAACACCAAAGCCTAGCTGTAAGTGTCACGTTAACTTCTAGCAATGCCAAAGCCTGTGATAGTGTCAGCTTCTGGCTGTTCCTCATCCCCAGGATGCCAACCCCCTCTCAAATTCTATCAGTCTGCTTCCACCCACTTAAAGCTTCAGAATGAAACATTGTTTCAGAAAAATCAGGTTGTGGCTGAGACCTGTAATCCCAGCACTTTGGAAGGCCAAGATGGGTAAGGTCAGAGGTTCGAGACCAGTCTGGTCAACTCTGTGAAACCCCCATCTCCACTAAAAATACAAAAATTAACTGGGCGTGATTACAGGCGCCTATAATCCCAGCTACCCTGGAGGGTGGGACAGAAAAATCTCTTGAACCCAGGAGGTGGAGGTTGCAGTGAGCTGAGATCGCACTATTGTTCTCCAGCCTGGATGACAAGAGTGAAACTCTCAAAAAAAAGAGTGTTTGCAGTTATAAATCATCTCCCTGACCTTTAATCTCTAGACTCATATACAACTGCATATTTATCTACATGAATATCTAATGGGCATCTCAAACGTGTCCAATATAAATGTGTTTATACATAAACACCGTCTGTTTTTCCTCTGATAGTCTTCACATCAATCAATAGGACTCCTTTAAGCAGCTTGCCCCAGGAATTATGCAATCTTGTTTGTTCTGAGCTTCTTACAACTTTCATCCAGTGCAGTTCACTCTGTTGACAAAATGCCTTTCACTGCTTTCATGGCGGTTTGTTTGGATGAACACAGTGACCCCTAACTGGTCTTTGTTTTCACTTTTAATCCCTTTATCATACAGTTATTTATCTATCCAATAGCAACAGTGATCCTTTCTACAGGTATTACGTCCACTGTCTGCTGAAAACATTCCAGTGGCTTTCCAGCACCTTCATAATAAAAAACGGCATCTTTATCATAGCCTAGAAGTCAGATGACCAACAATTTCAGTTTGCCTAATTCTCAGGTGTTTCTCAGGTATAGGGCTTTCAGTGCTGAAACTTAGTCCCAAGCAAACGAGGATGAGTGTCTTAAACCTACTTAGGAGGTCCTACTAGATCTGTATGCTGGCTACTCTCTGACCTCAATCTCTTCACAGTTCTTTTTCTTCACTGATCTCCTTGCTGTTTCTGGAATGGACCAAGCATTTCCAGCATCAGCATCTTTATATTTATTCTTTCTCCCTAGAAGTGACTTATCCAGGAAATCTGAAGAGCTCTAAATCTCATTTATTTCAAGCCTCTACTCAAATACCAACCTTAAGAGACCTCCTGTGATCATCCTTTGTAAAATATTACGCTTTTCTGCTCATTTGACATGTATATACCCGACTATGCTCAAATAGCATATATATGTATGCACATATATATAACAATATATTTAACAAAAATACATATAAGAATATATATATGTACATATATTATTTTGTTTCTGTTCTCTCTCTCCCAACTAGAATATATTTTTTGAAGGTAGAGACTTTGTTTTGTCCCAGAAGTATGTCTAGCACCTAGAACAGGCCTACTATTTAATAGGTAGTTTATGGAGGTTTGTTGAATGAATGCATGCATGAATCTTCTGTGTAAGTCTCCAGGCTCCCCGCTAAGCCCATTAGAATGCTACCACAATCAATTCCCCATCTCTCATTCCTTGACCTGCCACTGCCTGAAGCAATCAGCATGTAGATACTCTCTAGAAAGTCTGGGGGATAGTGCAGGGCTTGCTAATTAAGCAACATTAACTTTGTTCTGAACAAGGACTGCATTGAAGAAGGCTCAAGGTGGTGGTGCGAATGTCTAAGATGACTATGATCTATCAGCAATGCTATGAACTAAAAAGGCCAGGCAAAACATAACAGGAGCTAATTACGGATATTGTTATAGTGACCTCCCATATGGGAAATCTATATCCACACACCTCTCTACATTGATTCTGGAATTCTGGAAAGGGAATTATAATTTGCTAACTTACGTGCCCCAAGGTCTACAACAATATCTGCATATAAGATCAATAAATATTTCTAGAATACCAGCTAAAAAAGACAGAAAATGACCCACCTTCTGTACCCAGGCTCATTTTTGCTCTTCTGACTCTTCGATTCCTGAAACCATCCAGGATGGATGGTTTATAGCGGCTCTGCTAATTCTTTTCATTGTCAGTTTTAAATTAAACCAAGCTGTGTACATGTATAAATTCCCCAAGAAATCCTGAATGGAAACTGTCAGGTGGAAAACAGGACCCCAAAATAAAAAGACATCCATCACTGAAGCTTTCATAATGAGGCCAAAATCAGTCCTCTGTAACAATGGTACAAAGAGCACAATGACAGAGGCACTTGTATCTATTCAGATGAGAGTAAGATTTTTCCCTATTAGCTAACTTCAAATAAGTTCACATCCATTTTCCTGCTGAGTTCTGAAGCTTGCTGTACCACTGGAACACATAACTGGACCAGGAACATTCTTTAATACTATGGCTATAATGACTTGACTGGACAAAGCCCAGGCTTCCAAGTTTAGCCCAAGAGGCCCTTCACAGACCAACAGTGCCTATGCTAACAACCTCATGTCCTGCCACCCTGCCTGCATCATTTCTCTCTCTGTGTGTATACAGAAATACATATGTGTATGTACATAAAATCAGCTTTACTGATATTTTACATACCATAAGGTTTACCCGCTTTAGGTACAATTCAATGAATTTTACCATGTTGCTTAGTTGTAAAGCCAACATCACAATCTAATTTCAGAATATTTCTATCACCCAAATTTCCATTTCTACGTAAAGGGGGGAAAAAACATGGCTAACTGCTGAAGGCTGCATTAACACTGAGGAAAAAACATGGCTAACTGCTGAAGGCTGCATTAACACTGAGGAAAAAACATGGCTAACTGCTGAAGGCTGCATTAACACTGAGGAAAAAACATGGCTAACTGCTGAAGGCTGCATTAACACTGAGGAAAAAACATGGCTAACTGCTGAAGGCTGCATTAACACTGAGGAAAAAACATGGCTAACTGCTGAAGGCTGCATTAACACTGAGGAAAAAACATGGCTAACTGCTGAAGGCTGCATTAACACTGAGGAAAAAACATGGCTAACTGCTGAAGGCTGCATTAACACTGAGGAAAAAACATGGCTAACTGCTGAAGGCTGCATTAACACTGAGGAAAAAACATGGCTAACTGCTGAAGGCTGCATTAACACTGAGGAAAAAACATGGCTAACTGCTGAAGGCTGCATTAACACTGAAATAGCTGCTTTTCTCTCTAAACCAGTTTAATCTCCCCTAAATTTAGTGTCCTGGATATTCCAGGAGTCTGAATCCGGCTTCAATTTTCAGGTTTTTTTTTTTAATCGAGGCAAATCGTATTGGTGGCAATAAATTTAGCACTGCTCTCAGTGCGTGACTGAAGGATACTTAAAAAGCTGATTTTCTTTCATAATCCCTAAAAAATATTTTTTTCCTGAAAAAGTTTTGTCGTTTCTCAATACACTTACTAGCTTCCCCTCGCGCTCTCTGGATTGCCTCAGGAAGTATTAGCTCATCAGCTCTGATTGGTTGACAGCTACTAATGACGCTCACTGATTGGGCAGCGATTCTCTTTGTTCCTTGGAAACTAATACAAATTCTTATCACTACTTGGTTTTTTTTCCATTCATTTTTCAGAGTCCCCTACCCGTATCTAGTGAGTGGAGGGGACTAAATTCCCATAATCTTTGCTGCCTGGGTTGTCAGCTCAGTATCATTCATGTTAATCATACACTGAGCTTTTTGGGTTAGCGGATACAGCTCTTCTTTTGTTTAGTTGGGCGGCCCTGAAAAGGGCCTTTTGTCTAGAAATGCAAGCTGTGGAGAAATCGGCAACCTCAGCCGCCAAAGCCGTAAAGGGTGCGTCCCTGGCGCTTGAGCGCGTAGACCACGTCCATGGCAGTGACCGTCTTACGCTTGGCGTGTTCCGTATAGGTGACAGCGTCACGGATCACGTTCTCCAAGAACACCTTGAGCACCCCTCGAGTCTCCTCGTAGATCAGACCAGATATCCGCTTGACCCCGCCACGCCGAGCAAGACGCCGGATGGCCGGCTTGGTGATGCCCTGGATGTTGTCACGCAACACCTTACGATGGCGCTTGGCACCCCCCTTACCCAAACCTTTCCCGCCCTTACCACGTCCAGACATGACTTCCCACAAAGTGAGTCAAGAGCAAGTGAGAGAATAGAGAAACCGATCTTTATATATCTACCTTCCCCCAACTCCCAAGTAGGCACAGAATAAAAAGTGCGCAGGCGGTAAACGTGACGTCTACAGTCCCCTCCCTTAACCCCTCCTCCAAGCCTCAGGAACTGGCGGGAGCAGCGGGTGGGGAAGGGTGGAGACACGAGGGTGGAACCAAACCATTGACCAATGGCCTTTATTTTCTTAGCAGAGTCACATCGTTGCGCTTTGAGGAACAAAGCGTTAAATGTAAACCCATTCTCATTCCAAATCTATTTTAAGCCGAATACCTTGAGATGAAGTATCGCTCTGCCGCACATGCTGGAGTGCACTGGTGCGATCTCGACTCACTGAAACCGCTGCCTGCAAGGTTCAAAGCGATTCTCCTGCCTCAGCCTCCTCGTGTAGCTGAGATTACGGGCGCTCGCCATCACGCCCAGTTTATCTTTGTATTTTTATTGGAGACCGGGTTTAGCTATGTTGGCTACGCTGGTCCCAATCTCCTGACCTCTAGTAATCTGCCAGCCTCAGCCCCCCTAAAGCGCTGGGATTGCAGGCGCGAGCCACCGTAACCGGCCAAAATTGAATGGTTTTCAAACCTTTTGGTGGTGAGCCGAAAAGAAGTGGCCCCAGTGCATTTCCTTTCCTCTAAGTTGCTTACAGCTACTTTACTTGAGCATGTGGTGGCTCTGAAAAGAGCCTTTGATTGGGCAGTGAGAGATGCCAGAGTAATTACGCCCGCTCTCCGCGGATGCGGCGAGCGAGCTGGATGTCCTTAGGCATGATAGTAACGCGCTTGGCGTGGATGGCGCACAGATTGGTGTCCTCAAACAACCCCACCAAGTAGGCCTCGCACGCCTCCTGCAGAGCCATCACAGCGGAACTCTGGAAACGCAGATCCGTTTTAAAGTCCTGCGCAATCTCGCGCACCAGACGCTGGAAAGGTAGTTTACGAATCAGCAGCTCTGTGGACTTCTGATAGCGGCGGATCTCGCGCAAAGCCACGGTGCCAGGGCGGTACCGGTGAGGCTTTTTCACCCCGCCGGTGGCCGGAGCGCTCTTGCGGGCCGCCTTGGTGGCCAGCTGTTTGCGCGGAGCCTTGCCTCCCGTAGACTTCCGAGCAGTTTGCTTAGTGCGAGCCATGACAAAAGAACACACGCACCACAAGGGCCAACAATAATGCAAGTACAGCCTCCAGCGGCTCTGCTATTTATAGTATGTAAAGTGCTGTGATTGGATGATAGAAGATGCTAGATATGACGTTACGAGCTCTGATTGGTCTATCTTTAAGCCATCAACAAACCTGCAGTTTCACTAGCTACTATGTTCTATTCCAAATCTACAGATTATTATTTTTTAAATGGCATTCTATTAGTTTAGTTTTGCTTTGTTCCGTGAGCTGGCCTCAACTCTTGGGCTCAAAGGATCCTCCCGCCTCAGCGTCCGGAGTAGCTGGGATTACAAGCCAAACCACTGCGTCGGCTTGGACTTGAACTTTTGTTCCCTTCTTCTACACGTCGTTTTCATAACCTGAAGGCACTTCTTCATAAAACAAGACATTGATCCAAAGGTATTATAGTTCTCCAGTTCTGCATAACCTTCAGCTTTTTAGGAGAGAACAAGAGAAAATATTGCTCACCTCCTCTCCGGAAATGTACCCTTTCCAGGAATTTCTGAAACCTTTCAGACGTGGATTCCTTTGTAACGCCTTGACTTAGAAGCGTTAATGAATCTGCAAAGCATCTCAAACATAGAATTACACTATCACTCATAGAAGCACTATCTATGAAACGTCTTTCTCTTGTTTACGCTCTCTGAATCCTATACTTGCAGCGTTCTGCAGCTTTTGTTTTCTAAAGCCTAGGTGTCTGCTGGTCGCAAAATGGCCGTTCTCCTTCACCGCCGCCAGGTACCACCAACTGGGATTGTTCCTTTTGCGAGCAGGAGGTGGACTCGGCCCAAGAGAAACTGGACTGTAATCCGCAAGGAACATAATTTAGCATTGCCAGAAGCTAATGCAATCATTTTTAAAGTCTCAAAACACTAAAGTATGTATTATGACCGCTTTTATATTAACAGGAGGCAGGCCATATTCTACCTTTTGATTGGTTTAGGCTATTTTGTCGAACAGCCACTTAGAAAACAGATCTAGTATCCTTCATTTGCATGGAGCGTTCCTATTTTATTTGAAGCCAGTTTAACCCAATAGAAACAGAGACAGAACCCATTATTTGAAATGGAAACTCCTGAATAAGATAATTCGAAGTATTTCCTTTTTAAAAGTTGCGTTTTTTCAGATACCTCGCTTATTACCCTAAGAAGGATTAATAGCTTTTAAAAGGGGTTTAGTTGCAAAAATGTTCCAAACGCGTATACCTGCGTTTCATAACTGACGAGCCGTCAAACCAAGATGCATAGTTTCCGACTATTATCTTCCAAATTCTTAGAAATTACGTGAAACATTTGAAAGCATGGCTTCTCAATAAAATGGGACGTAGGCAGCACTGCTGCAGAAGATATACACAATATTTATCTGGGACTCCTACATTATTTGGTTGACACGTTGTTTGAAGGAAAAGGGGAGAAGCTCAGGTTACTTAGCACTGTGCGGACTTATTTGAAAACTACAACAACACGAGCGGAAACAAGACTTCATTACGTCACTCTCCACTGTGCTAGGGGATTATACAGAATAGGACTGTGGAAGTGGATGTCGATTTAATAGCTGTTTATTCTCCAGTTACCTGAGTCTCTGACTGGGAATGTGAGGTCGTTTAGCTTATTGATACTCTGAAATGCTTTAACAGCCACAAAAAACTTAAAAGGAGGTTACCATAAAATCTTATCCCCAGGGTGTGCCGTTTGTTTTCACCCTAAGGGGACTTAAACTCCCAGCAGAATGCCTGTCAGGGATCCGATTTCATCTACCCAGCATTTATTTAACGCCTTTCGCAGGCTTGTGAGGCCCATAAATCTTTGTTGAATAAAAGAATGAGTTGACCATATCATGATAGGCTGATCGTATGTGCTAAGATGAAACACAGGTTGTAAACCTTAGCACCCATCTGGGGCATGTTGTATGGGTGAAAAGGGCACTGGAAATTCCTGAAGTGCATTGGACTGTAGAAATAAGTTGCAATTGCAGAAACTTTTCCACACTTTTGCAGCGTTAGTGAATGTTGGTGTTTTTTACGATTCATTCTTCTTTGACGTGAAAGGTATTCGCCAGACACATGGCTCTAAAACATTGCCAGAAAATGTAACAGTTGGTGACAACTAGCCCTAACGTGACCTAAAACCGGCGCTTTCCTCTCTCCCTCCCCAGTTATTCAAAACACTTAACTTTGCATTTCTTGCAAATTAAAAATGAACATCTCTGGCAACGGACCTTTAATAATTTCTAATAAAACTCCTCGGATGCTTATGGGGCTGCATTTAGAAACTACTCTCCCTCAACCCACTCCCTAAAAAGAGCTGCTTTTTGAGAGAGAAGCTGCACCCTCCGATGTTACTGGGGGGCAGTCTGCCTACAATTTCTTTCACAGCGAGGAAACCCGGGCAGATTTTTTGGTGTGGTTGCTTGCGATGAGCGAAGCTAGACCATAGGCCCTAGAGGTCCCCAGCAGCCTTCTGAGACTGGACGAAACCCTCGGCACTGCGAGGGGCAGGGCACTACAATCACTGCACAGTCCCACCCTATAAATATGCCGCGTCGGGGGCGTTTTTTTGCATCCTGCTTCATTAGGTTTTAACCGTTTACTTAGTGTACTCCCTCACCATGTCCTAAACCGCGCCTCCCGCTTCCGCCGATCCTGAGACACCTTCAGCTGGCAAGAAGGCCAAGAAACCAGCTAAGGTTGCAGCAGCCACCAAGAAGAAACCCGCAGACCCCTCTGTGCGGTGTTCGCACCAAGGGCTTGAGACAGCAGCGTGACTCGCCCCATCTTGGCTGCTGGACCTATCTGCACTCACCCATCTCGAGGGCAGTAGAGATGAGACAAAGGCCGCTGGCTGAGTGACTGAGGCAAAAACAGAATACAAAGCAAAGGTCTGCGGTTTATGAGGACATTGTGGTCTGCTTTCGTGTCCCCATCAGTCTCTGTGTAAGCGATAAACTTGCTGCAATTGAGATGCCTAAGAGGGACAAGAGACCCCTGCCCATATTTTCCCTGGAGCTAAGCCTTTGTTCTACATCCTGATGGAAAACAGGATTAACAAGCCACCTCAAGGGCGCCATTGTTTGCTTGCACTGTGTATCTTTGAAAAACATAAACTGCTTTGTAAACTATTACCACAAGCCCCCTTAAACTACTTGTGAGCGGTTATCACAAGCCCCTGATAACTATTTTTATGGAGTTTCTATTTCCTTTCTGTTTACCCCTTTTCTGCTGAGATAAAGTAAATGTAACAAGAAAAAAGGTATAAAAGCTGTAACCCACAAGAATAAACTTGCTGCGTTTTGACCATAAGTTACGCAGACCTCCAGACTCCGCTTTACTTTTTTCTTTCACTTCCGTGCACTCTCTCCCTCAGGTTGAACGAGACATCTACGTTGGCGGTCTTGGGGACTCCCACAGGTTGGTAGCCACCCCAGCGGCAGACGTGCCAGACCCTACTTTTGTGAGAAATATATGTGACCTAAGTCTTTTACATACACCTATCTATAAACATGCATGGTTTTGGTTTTTCCGTTTTATTTTTTAATATTTTGAGACAGGGTCTCACTCTGTTGTCCATGTAGACTGCAGTGGCATAATCACAGCTCACTGTAACCTCGAACTCCTGGGCTCAAGCTATCCTGCTACCTCAGCATCCAGAGTAGCTGGAATTGCATGCCCACACTACCATGCCAGGATAATGTTTTATTTTTTGTGGAGACAGTCTTACCATGTTGCCCAGACTGGTCTACAAACTGGCCTCAAGCAATCCTCGGCCTCCCAAAGTGTTGAGATTATAGTCACTGTGCCTGGCCTTGTATACATACATGGTTTGTCTTTTAATTAAGAGTATTAATTTAAAAAACAAAGGCTGGGTGAAGTGGCTCACACCTGTAATCCCCAGCACTTTGGGAAGCTGGGTGGGCAGATTGCTTGAGCTCAGGAGTTTGAGACCAGCCAAGGCAACATGGTGAAACCCTGTCTTTACAAAAAAATACAAAAATTAGCCAGGCCCAGTGGCATGTACCTGTAGTCCCAGCTCCTTGGGAGGCTAAAGTGGGAGGATGATTGGAATCCAGGAGGTAGAGGCTGCAGTGAGCAGAGATTGTGCCACTGCACTCAAGCCTGAGTAACAAAGTGAGATCCAGTCTCAAAACAAAAATAATAAAAATTTTTTACAATGTAGTTATATACACTTCTGCCGAGACTTTTCTAAAACTCTGTCATTAAAGAAAAAGAAATCCTTCATATGGAGTAGCATAAGTTATTGACCCATTTCTTTTTGATAAGTTTGGATGTTTCCAGTTACCACTTCTGAACTTGGTGCCATTGAATAGAATCACAGGGTTGAGACTGCTAGGTTTTAGGTTGTATTTTATTATTTTATTTGTTTTTTTAGACAGAGTCTCGCTCTGTCCCCCACACTGGAGTACAGTGGCATGACCTTGGCTGCAGCCTTGGCCTCGCAAGTTCAAGAGATTCTCATGCCTCCAGCCTCCCGAGTAGCTGGGATTACAGGCGCCTGCCACCACACCTGGCTAATTTTTGTATTTTTAGTAGAGATGGGGATTTGCCATGTTGGTCAGGCTGGTCTCAAACTCCTGGCCTCAAGTGATCCACCCACCTTATCCTCCCAAAATGCTGGGATTACAAGTGTGACCTTATCCTCCCAAAATGCTGGGATTACAGGCGCCTGCCACCACACCTGGCTAATTTTTGTATTTTTAGTAGAGATGGGGATTTGCCATGTTGGTCAGGCTGGTCTCAAACTCCTGGCCTCAAGTGATCCACCCACCTTATCCTCCCAAAATGCTGGGATTACAAGTGTGACCTTATCCTCCCAAAATGCTGGGATTACAAGTGTGAGCCATGGCACCAGGCCTGGACTTTGTCTTCTGTTTCATCAGTCCTTCTGTCTATTCAACACCAGGAAGCTAGTCTTAACCCTTCTCTCACACTCTGCTCAGCTGTTTCTCAGGCAGATCTCAGTAGGTCTGGTAACCTCCAGAACTGCTGCTCAGATTATTAAACAACCTGTCGTGGTTGGAAGTGTCAATGCTATTTTGATTTTCCACCTTTTTGTTTTAATGCAATTGGCAGACAATTGCAGCTTTCTTTCATCACCCCCGAGTTCAAATGATAGGAAATGAACTAGGAGAACACAGACACTCCGACTTGCGGGTCCCCTCACTCATCACCTGAAGACCTTGGAAATCAAAGCCCTGATCCCTCAAAGACAGATAGAGCAACGTATGATCATCACCACTACCTTGCTTTGTCCCAGTGCAGGTCAACCAAATGCGGTATTTTTAGTTTCTAACTCCATTTATTCAGCGTAAATTAATTATATATCCACTAAAATCCCAGAACTATTCTGAGAACTGAGGAAATGGCAGTGAAGAAAACAGACCAAATTTTCTGCCCTTATGTGATTTACATTATTTTCTTTGGGCTGGTTAAATGAAAGAGCCTCTGCTTTTTTCCTTAATCATCTAGGGGAGGCAGAAATAAAGGAGAATAATGATAAACCTGGAAATAGGGCCGGAGAGTATCAGAGAAGGAAGCCTTTGGGAAGGTGAAGATGTGGCAGCCAGTAGTCCCGTTGTAAAAGGATACAACTCCGGCCTCACAGTCCAGAAAAACTCCCACAACCAGGGGCTGCTCAGGCAGAAGAAGGGAAGTTGGGGGAGAAGTTAGCGCTACATAACCTTTCTTTTTGCACAGCCTTAGGGTCCAGAATCCAAACTGAGGCTCTTGCTTCATGCCAGTGCCCCTCTGCACATTTTCCACACAAACTCCTAAATCCCACCCAGTTCCTTCTCCAACATCCACTTCAAAGTAGCATCTTCCTGAGGTGAAGCCTTCACAACCCAAGACACAGGGCAAGGCACTAAATCTCCTGGAAGAAGTGTCCTGATTCTGCTGGGGGTATCCTCGAGTCACTTGTCTCCGATCTTCAGACAGAATTAGTTCATGATGAGCTGTATCTGGATCCAGAGTCACACTGACTGCAAAAACAAAACAAACACAAAACCACTTTCGTTGGTGCAAAGAACATAAGTTATTGTATTTTATTTATTTATTTATTTATTTTTTTGAGACCGAGTCGTACACTATCTTGGCTCACTGCAACCTCTGCCTCCCGGGTTCAGGCAATTCTGCCGCCTCAGTCTTCTGAGTAATTGAGTGTTTGCACCACCACAAGTGGCTAATTTTTATATTTTTAGTAGAGGTGGGGTTTCGCCATGTTGGCCAGGCTGGTCTTGAACTCCTGACCTCAGGTGATCCACCCTCCTTGGCTTCCCAAAGTGCTGGGATTACACAGGTGTGAGCAACCATGCTGAGCCACAAGTTACTTTCAATAAAACTAGCCTGTGTTCAAACCCAAGTATTGTTTCTTATAAACCGCGTGAGCTTAGGCAAGTCATTTAACTCTCTGAGCCTCAGTTTTGTTAATTATAAAGTGGAAATTATCATATTTGTTGCAAAGAAACGTGGGTGTTATTGAATATGCTATGTTTACTTAACACACAGTAAAATTCCTGATACACGGTAAGCACCTAATAAGTGGTAGTGATAATAATGTCATCAGCATCATCTTTGTCTTAGTCAAGGTACAGAACTAATCAGTTAATATGGTCACCATCCTGTCTGAAGTTCTTCTCCCATGCAAGACTTCCAGGAATCATGAAACAGCTGAGCATAAAGATAGCTTTTCCCTTCTCTACTGAATAACCACCAACACTGAGACTCAGGGAAGGAAAATGACTCAGCTAATGTCTTAGCTTGTTATTGGAAGACCCAGGTCTCAGGACACACGCCTAGTTCCATGACTTTTAATTATAAGCTCTTCTCTTTCCCCTCAGATAACGTTCCATACAGATTAGCATGAGGTGACAATACACTGAGGATCAATACACATGAAAAGTATCAGACTAGAGTCAAACAAGGCAGAAAAAAAATCTGATAACCTAAAGTGAGATACTGGACAGTATGCAGTTTTAAAAATAAATAATGGTAATAGGATGTTCTAACCAGAAGGTGAAGAAGCCACTGTGCTACTGGCTTAAACACTGATCAGCTGGTCCACGACAATAAAGGAATTCAAGTTCAAAAACTCTCCTGTGCTGGACGCTGTTTATTCTTCCAGATTATTCCCTCACCTTCCTGTCTTGCTCTGTGCCCAGGTAGGCTGACACCTGTGGTCACTTTCTGCCCTCTGGCTTCTGCTTGGTTCAGCCAATGGGAAGCACCAAAGGAGACCACAGGGCACAAAGATGCAGCCTGGGAGTATTCGGTACCCCCGTCCCTCACCACTGGCTATGATTTGGAGAGTCTACATTCCTCTGCCTCTGGGTGCACTCTCTCATCGTTACAGCTCCCTACACCTGCCACTTGAGGCCCAGAAGAGGTGATGGCTCTCTAAGTGTCCCTAGTTCTGGGCGCTTTCCTGTTCCTTCCTCCAAGATTTCCCAACTCCTCACCTTTGTAAATATCCTCTTTTCCAAACTCTATTCAGTCAGCTGTTATCCGCCTGACCCACAGAAGTTTGGGGTTTCATTCATGCTACCTGAATGACCCAGGAAATCCCATATTGAGAAATTAAAATGTTTACAGGGTAGTAATACCACTTGAGAGAAAATATCAATTGAATTTCTAAAATTCCACCTGTCTATTGCAGCGACACATAAACAAAAACATATAGAAAGACTGAAAGTTAAAAGATAGATGATATAATCATATAGCGGTTGTAGTATTATATCAAAAGATATTAAGTCAGAGCATTATTAAGAACGAAAGGAGGGACGTGGTGGCTCATGCCTGTAATCCCAGCACTTTGGGAGGTCAAGGCAGGCGGATCACTCGAAACCAATAGTTCAAGACCAGACTGATCCACATGGCGAAACCCTGTCTCTACTAAAAATACAACAATTATCTGGGCATTGTGACACATGCCTGTAATCTCAGCTACTTGGGAGGGTGAGGCACAAGAATCGTTTGAACTGGGGAGGTGGAGGTTGCAGTGAGCTATTTCGCCTCTGTACTCCTGCACCACAGCCTGGGCAATGGAGCAAGATGGCCAAAAAAAAAAAAAAAAAAAAAAGGACAGAATGGCCGGAGGCGGTAGCGCGTGCCTATAGTCCCAGCTACTCGGGAGGCTTGAAATAGGGCTTCAAAATTAAGTAGACACATTTTCTATATGTTAACATATAACATGCGTATATGTTCACATATAGAAAATGTGTCTACTTAATTTTGAAACCCTATTTATCAAAAAGCAGGATGAAAATGCACAATGCCATCCACATGCTATAATAAGTTCCCATAAATCAGTAAGAAAAAAACCATTAAAAATTCTTAAACCACAGTAAATCATGGGTAAATCACAGAAGCCTGAAGAGCTACTAGTCATACAAAAAGAATCTCAACCTCACTAGTGCAATCAGAAAGATGCAAATTAAGTACACAATTAGGAACGATTTTAAATCCATAAGACTGTCAAAATCATAAATTATATAGGTAAAGACTCGGAGTTTTAAAGCAGTGAGAGCTCTTCTATTACTGGTGGAGTAGAAATGGAATAATTTCAATGTCTGTAGTATCTAGTAAAACTATGATATGCATCCCTCATACCAGTAAGTCACTCCAAGGTGCATTACATGTTTGTACAAACTTAGGGAAAGATATAGGTTGCCCTACCTAGAGAAGTCAGACTGGAAAGCGGGAGGAGAAACCTTGAACTTTCTCTTTATATCCTCTATAATGTTTGACTAATTAAAATTTATTTGTTGCATCTGCTTGAAGGCAATGTAAAATAAAATAAACATAAATTTAAAAATAAAAATAAATTATTCATATCACTTTTGTAATAAGAGAAATTTTAGGCCGGGCGCAGTGGCTCACACTTGTAATCCTAGCACTTTGGGAGGCTGAGTTGGGCAGATCACCTGAGATCAGAAGTTTGAGACCAGCCTGGCCAACATGGTGAAACCCCATGTCTACTAAAAATACAAAAATTAGCCAGGCATGGCGATGCACACCTGTAATCCCAGCTACCCAGGAGGCTGAGGCAGGAGAATCGCTGTAACCTGGGAAGGTGAGGCGGCAGTGAGCAGAGATTGTGCCACTACATAGTGGCCTGGGCAAAAGAGTGACACTCTGTCTCAGAAAAAACTAAAAAGAGAAAAATTTAATAAACAATGTTTAAGAGGTGAGAAATATTTAGTTAAAAGATAAGCCCATTTAAGAAACAGTTTCACTTGAACCATGTTGTGATTCCTTCTGTAAATGAGACTACGCAAATTAACTCAATGAAATCCCAGCAAAACTTACATAAAGTCAGGATGAAATATAGAGAGCTTTTGGGTTTCATTGTTGTTTGCTGTTGTGTAGTTGAGGGGAACACAGGTCTATAATTCCTTATCTGAAACCCGTGGAACCAAATGGGCTTTGCAATTCAAATTAGTTTAGAAGTTATAAAGGCCAAAAAATGCATATACTCTAACGTTCAACCCCATCAGGGCCTAAGACAGAGCCATGTAATCAAATTCATCAATATTTCTGCAGCGAAACATTTATTCAAATTAAGTGGGATAAACAAAGACTTTTAAATAGTCAGTGCAGTTCAGGTTTGGCCACTGTGGAAGACAGACTCAAGGGTGGCATTCCATGATTCCTGCCTCTTGGTGTTCACACCCTCATAAAATTCCTTCTCTCTGAGTGTGAGCAGGGTCTATGAATTGCTTCTGACCAATAGGATATAGCAAAGACGATGGGATATAATTTCTGTGATTACATTTCATTATGTAAGACTCTATCTTGCTAGCAGATTTGCTCTCAAGAATCTGTCTCCTGAGCTCTCTTTGAAGAAATAACTGGCCATGTTGGAAGCCCATGTGCAGAGAGCTGAGGGGTGGCCTGTAGAAGCTGAGGGCAACCTCCAGCCAACACTCAGAAACAACCAGGGCCCAAAGTCCTGCAACCATTAGGAAATAAATTCTGCCTGCTACCTGAGTGAGCTTGGAAGTGGATTCTCCCTTAACATGAGAGCCTCCAGATAAGAACACAGCCTGACCAACACCTTCACTACAGCCCTGTCAGACCCTAAGCAGCAGGCCCAACTAAGCTGTGCCCAGATTCCTGAACCACAAAAGTTTAGGTAATATACGGGTGTTGTATGACGGTGCTAAATTACGGTAAATTGTACTAATAGATTACTAATATAACCACCAAATCATTTCAGGGTCGGCCAGATTTTTGCAGCCAAATGAATCGTGATAAAACTTTCCATTTTCAGAATTTTTTGATTATACTTATGGATACAAATTTGTAGAAGTATAGTCAGCACTGATTTAAAAAATTAAGGGAGCTGGAAACTCAGTAAATGGTTCTAAAGTTTTGGAATCAGTAAATTGGTTATAACATTTTTCATCTGTGTTATGAGTCAAGTTCCTAAAATCATGTGAATGACAGGCTCTCGTACTCGCCAGCTTTCTTGCATTTCTTTAAGAGTTGACTGATACATTAATAATAAACACCGTGATCACATCCAATACCATGATGTGGTATTCTGATCATGTGTCAGTCACTGTGCTAAGCACCTTGTACATGTTGACGCATCTAATTTTGCTGACAACCCAATGAAGTGGGAGCTGTTAATATTTTTATTTTTCAGATGGGGAAACTGAGTCACCTGGAGTAATATAGCTAATAAGTGAAAGAATAAGAATTTGAAAAGTTTGTGCAGATAACCAGAATGCAATGCTCACTCACATCTAAGCAGTGAATCAGACTAACCAGGGAGAGAATGAAAGCTCTACTGAAATTAACAACCTCTGGCTGTGAGCCTGCCAAGGGACAGGTGGTAAACCTGGTTACTACATAAGGCCCCTTCCATTCAGAGCATTTAGGAATTCTTTAGTGCATATACCTTGATGACTCCTTAACATTTTCTTCACGTCAAAATAAAGCTCAGAAACATTGCACATAGTATGAAGCTCCAAGGAGACGGCCTCTGATGTTTCCAGCTTCACAGCTCCACTCCTAGAATAAGCAGAGGCAGGGTTTGCATTTCATTCAGTTCTATATACACACAGCCCTCCCCACTGCATTCCCACAGGACGTACCTGCTCAAAGTGTCATTCACATTCTATAAAGAAACAAAAACAAAAGGTGAGCACGGGAACATCAGTATTTCACAGGGCTTGGCATGCAGGGCTATTCATTGCTTTTCCCCAAGAAGTAAAGAGAGTTACCCCAGTCTTAGATATTGATGGATACTCAGAATAATTCCCACCAGTCTTAGATATTGACGGATACCCGGATGGTATAATTCCCACCAGCTTCTGGGAGATTCAGCATGGCAGGATGTTTCTCAACATTTGCATCTATTCCCTCCCTTGCTGAAGCCTGAGGGCCAGCAGCTATGCCCCTGCTCCCTCCGTCAAGACTTGCTTTTGGTAACTGGATTTCCTTCAGAGTGAGCCCAGATTAGAAATCAATTATCATAAAGGTCCACATCACTCATCTTTTATTCTTTTCCTTGTAGAGAAACAAGGAAACCTGAGATACACCTCCCTCTGTGCTTGACTGACCCAGTGCTTCCCAGGATGCTGCTGAGTATATTGGGTGACTGAGAAAAAAGGATTAAAATTGAGTGTTCACACCTCTCTTTTACTACCCTAAAATTGGACCCCCAGTGTGGCAGTGTTGGAAGGTGGGGCCTGGTGGAAGTGTTTGGGTCATAGGGGTGGATTATTCATAGATAGCTTGGTGCTGTTCTCATGGTAGTGAGTTCTCACTCTCTGGAGAATAGATTAGTTATTGCAGTAATGGATTAGTTCTCTTGAGAGCAAGTGTTCCAATGCAAGTTTCCTCCTTCTATTTGGCTCTCTGCACATGTCCACTTCCCCTCTGACATTCTCTGCCACTTTGTGCAGCACAAAATCCCTTACCAGGAGCCAGGGCCATGCTCTTGAGCTTCCCAGTCTGCATAACTATGTGCTAAATAAACCTCTTTAAAAAAAATAAAGTCCTTAGTGGTGAATCCACACACAGCCCTGAGACTGGGTCACTAAGACGATGGCAGCAGGTATCACACAGTGGTAAAGCAATCACGCTATATATTCAACCTCACAGTATAGGCACCAATCCTGTTAGTTAGAACCAGAATTAATGACTCCAGATGTTTATATTCAAATAGATACAGCTATAGACTGTACCATAACAGCTCTGGAGCAAGGGGTCTACAAGCAAATCAGGGAAAATGTTATCACTCATCTTGGCTGCCCCGCTTCATCACCCATCCGTCACCTAGAGGAGTAGTTGGGGAGAGAGTCTGACAGCCAGGGTTCTGTGCACACGGGCCAAGGAGGCAAACAGTGGCAAATATTATCCCATGGTTCCATTTGGCCAAGCTATGCTCAATCAGAAGTTTATTTTTCTAATTGACATAAAGGTACACTATAGAGTAGCGAAGGCCAGCCTGATGGCACTGATGTATTTCTAAAAGAAACATTACTTTATCGTCCATGCTTCCTTACCATTCTCCTCTAATGGCACAGTAACATACCTTTTTTCCCTGTTCCAAGTCCACAGCCTCACCTGCAGCAATTTTTGGGCTGAGCCCTGACATTTTTCCTCCAGTTCCAGGATGTGTCTATTGAGTTCGTCGCTCTTCAGCCCCAGACTGGCCTCACGGTCCCTCAGTCTACTCAGAGTCTGTTGTTCTTCTTTCTCCAGTCTCCAGAGATAACATTTCTCTTCCTCATGTAGGAAACTCTGGAGACTCTTAAAGTCAGACTGGATTTTTTGTCTCTGAATCTGTATCTTCTCCTGGAGTCAAGAAAGTATGGTCAAAAGGTGGAAATAAACCAAATGTCCATCTATGGATGATGGATAAACAAGAAGAAAGTCTGATACCTGCTGTGCATGATAAGCCTTGAAGACATTCAAGCAAAATAAGCCAGAAATAAAAGGGCAAATATTCCAAGACTTTGCTTATATGAAGTATCTAGAATAGTTAAGTTCAAAGAGACAGAAAGTAAAATAGTGGGTACGAAGTGTTGGCAAGACAGGAGAATGGAGAGTTACTGTTTAATGGGTAGTGGATTTCAGTTTGGAAGATGAAAGATGAAACCCAGTTGCAGTTTGGAGATGGTATGTGATAGTCGCACAACAACGTAACAATGTAGAAGTTCTTCGTTCCACTAAACTGTATGCTTAAAAGTGGTTAAATGCTTAAGTGTTGTATATATTTTAACACACACACACAGTGCAGTCAGTCACTTGGACATTATTTTCCCATGAGTCACTGAAGCTGGAAGAATGTCCCCAGGTTCCGGCTGCAGAGTCATGTGTGGGAGGCAGGCACTCACATGTGGGAGAGGCTATCTCAGATTCCTTATAGTCACTCAATTAATTTCCCTGTTCCTCAGTCAAGACAGGAGAAAGCTGGGTTAGGAGTGCAAGATAATTTGTGAAACTCGGGCCAACTTCAAACACTTTATCAATTACAAAGATAAAAAGAAGTTTTTACTTGGGATTTAAGAAGTTATTTCTGAGTCTGAGGGATTTTTCTTGAAGTAAAAGTTTATAATGAACATCAAGACTTGATTTTAAGACAATCAGGCTGGTAAGAGGGTCCACAATTCTTGGCAGGGGGAGCGCAGGGTGTGGCAGGCATTTATTATGGTTAACTGAAAAATATTTATCCACTACCCTAGGGTCATCTCAGCATTCCTATGTGTAAGACTGACAAAAATCAAATGAAAGTCTCATCTGAGATGTAAAATTGCAATTTCCTTTAGTGCTATCTAAATTAATGCAGTGGGAGTGTGTACTCAGGGTAACTTTAATCTATGCTGTTGGATTGCAGGCTTCAAACTTAGCCCAAATAAACTCTCTACTTAGCTTAAAAAATATAAAAATTTGAAAATTAAAATAAATTCATACAGTGTTTTGCTGACTATGATGCAGCAGAAGTGTCTGACTTAGGATGAAGTGGAATGTTTGTGTAGGGAACAGGTGCAGCTTTAACTCTTATATAGGTGGGTTTTCATATATGTTAATAACAATCAAGGTCTTTGTTGTCCAAGATCCTAGAAATGAGAGAAGTAAGAGTGTACTCAGGAGCTCCAGATCAACATCCACAAACAAAGGATCAGAGTAGAGGTTAGAAAGGACCCTTGCAAGAGGGAAAACTGGGAATCGGTTTGTGGGATTTTACTGCAAGCTAGTGAATGACATAAAAGTTGGTGCAAAAGTAGTTGTAGTTTTTGCCTTTACTTTGAATGGCAAAAACCACAATCACTTTTGCACAAACCTAAATATTTCCACAAAAGAATGTGGCTCTGATACTGTGGAGGCTGGTCGGCCACAGAAATAGTCTGAGAGCCCCTACAGTCTGTAGTTGCAAGTGTGTCGGTTGTATGACTTATAATGTACTTTTAAATCAAGTGTATTTCCTTCAGCCTCATCAGCTTGAGTAGTATGAATTTGAATCTGGAGTCATCCTGCTTTCCAAGTGTTCACAAAGGTTGGCTTCTATACCTGAAAACTTGAGAGCCAGATGCTCTGCCATGGTAAAAGTGCCAGGGTAATGAGTTGAGGCCTGCAAACCAGGTTTATTTTGAGGTATTTAAAGTTTGAGGCCTAGTCAAGGCTTGTTCTAGGTAAACAGGCAGAGCAATTCTGCTGCTTTTGACTGAGGTATCAGGAATTGCAGCCAACTGTGGTTGAAAGATGGAAGGGGTTGGTGCTCAATTCTCATGGATGTAAACGACTAGAGGCATAAATATCAATAATGGTTTCTTCCTTGGGTTTCGTTTTTTTGATCTGGTTCAGTGAGAATAAATCATCATTGTGCTTTACCTCCATCATCCCCTATGCCTAAGCTCTAGAATGGAAAATAGCTTGAGATCAATGAAGTCAGATTCTTACTTTCCATTTAGTTATTTGTATTGCTGTGAACAGCTTCTGCTCCGTACATCTGTCTTCAAGTTGCCTCAAATTTGTCACAGCATTCTGGAGCTTTTCCTGAAGGAAAAATTCGATAAGTGAAGTCTATTCAATTTGACTCTTCATTAGGGACCTAGGGGGGAATCCCAGCCTTTCAAGATATATTTGAATAATAGCGAATAGCTATTGAGTTCTCATCGCTTTTTGCTAGAGAGCATGCTAAAGGCTATATGTGCTCCTGCATATACTTGGCAACCCTCAACAGCGGGTAGGTTTTTAAACATCATTCTGTGCTGTAGAAAATGAGGCGAACAAAGGGGTAACATAACTTGCCCAAAGTTATATAATTGGCAGGTGGTGGAGCTACAATTGCAACCTCATCTGCTTACCCAGAGCCTGAGCTATACCCACCACTGGAATCCTGCCAGGAAAAGGCTGTACACAGAACAAGGTAATCATCATCTAAAAGATTTTGTAAAATAACATGGTGGACCATGCAGAACCAATACCAATGGCACAGATAAAATATTTTGTCTTATGAGTCAGGAGAAATCAGGGTGCCAGCTGGTTATTAGAAACAGTTTATGGAAAACAGGAATTCTGGTTTCTTTTGAAGAATGGTATCATGAAACCAATTTAAAATGATTCATGTCAACCTTTAGCTTATTCCTCAAAAAAGTTTCTCATATTGCTATTGAAAGTGATTTGAAGCTGACCCAAATTGCTAGTTGTAGTCAATGCTAAAAGAATTGTCTCCTGTCCGCTGTAAACCCGACAAGTATGCTCATCAATTCTCGAGCATTCTCGGGAAAGAGCTCTGTGTAACTGTTTTAGCAAAAGATGACATTGCCGTTTCTATATGCCAAGTGCTATTCTATGCTTTCTATGTTTTAATGTCCTTAAGGTTTTAACAACTTCCTGGGTGTGTGTGTTAGAAAGGGGAGACACTGCCATTATCCCCATTTACAGATGGGGAAACCAAGGCATCGAGACATTAAATAACGTGCCCAAAATTGGCCATCTGGTAAAGTGACCAAACAATTTCAACATAAGCAGGCTCCTTTTCTTACTACTTGTTGGGAAAGTAATTCAGTGGGAATATCATCGTTGCAATTAGTAGCTGCTCCATGGAGTTTAAGGAAGAGCTGCCATGAGCTGAGTGATGGTTAGGATTGACATGTCCTTAGGACTTAGAGCCTTTATACAAGACCACCTCGGGCTCATGGGTCAGAATAAGGGGCCTGACAACGTTTTCCTCAAATTTAGACAAGACAGAGAAGGAAAAAGGACATCAGGACTATGCCCATTCCTCTAAGCTGGCAACGGCAAAGTCCCACCTTCCTTAATATGCTTTCTGACAGGAAACCTGGCTGGTACATAAAACCCCTCTGCTTCACCTTCCACAACCAAGTATTTCCAAATATTTGAGTCTTCTTCCTGAATCTTGCTTAAAATCTGCCCTCTCCTCCCTTTCTTACAGGGATAGTTTAAATCTTACTCCTTGATATTCCTTTTATTATCGGCATGCTGGAGTAGCTGGGCACAGTGGTTCACACTTCTAATCCCAGCACTTTGGGAAGCTGAGGTGGGAGGGAGACCAGGGGTTTGAGACCAGCGTAAGCAACAAAGCCAGACCGTGTCTCTACAAAAAAAAATTTTTAAACCTGTATATGGTGGCGCATGCCCATCCTAGCTACTTGGGAGGCTGAGGTGGGAGGACTGCTTGAGCCCAGGAGGTCGAGGCTGCAGTGAACCGAGATCGCACCACTGCACTCCAGCCTGTACGGAGCAAGACCCTGTCTCGAAAACAAACGCACAACAACAACAAAAAGAGTAGAGGTACCAGAGTGATACTTTTAATGTCACTGACCCTTCATCCCCCAAATGAAAATCCTCCATTAGCTGTTCAATTTTTGTGTCCTTCGGGAGTCACTTCTGAAATGAACCACTCCCTACCCTAACAGTCCCTCCCACCACCAAAACCAGGGACCTCCAGGCAGACATTTTTGATGGTTTGTCTTCTTTACTAGACTGTGGATACCTAACAGGTGATGCATCTTTCTTCCCTGTTTTCAGGCCCTATCCCATGGGTTTACATATTGTGGTTTTTCAAATTAGATGCATGGTGTGATGCAAGAAAAAATGTGGGTGTTTGGTCTGGGAACAATCTGTTCTAAAGCAGGGGGAAATTCATCATAACACAAATGGATAGGCATCAGAGTCCGACCATCCCACTGAGGTCAGGATGGACAGTCTAGAAAACAAGGAATCATCAATATTTTTCAGAAGAATGACAGGATAAAAACTGTATTTCCAAGTCATAATGTCAGGTTTCAGGGTAAATCGTCTCAGCTCCTAGGGAGCAGGATAAGACTCAGGTACTTGCCAAGGCCCCCTGCACCACACACTCACCTTGTAGCCCTGGCATACCTCTTCAACAAGCACTGTGGTATGACCTTTATGCTGCGGTGCCCGCTCACAGCGCCAGCAGATGAGCCGTCCTTCATCTTCACAGAACAGGTGGAGCTGCTCTCTGTGTTCCTCACATGACATTTCGTGATCCATCTCTTTGAGAGCTTCAATAAGGTTTCCCAGCTGCTTGTTGGGTCTGACGCTATCCAAGTGGAATGGAGCCCGGCACTGGGGACACCAGAGCATCTTCTGCCTCAGTTGCTTTTGGCTTGGGTTTTTAAAGAAGTCCATTATACACAACTGGCAGTAGCTGTGTCCACAGTTGACGCTTACTGGGTTCGTCATCAGGCTCAGGCAGATGGAGCAGGTGGCTTCCTCCATCATCCTCTTGGTGCTGGTGGTTGAGGCCATAGCTTTTCTTGAAAAGCTCCAATATTGGCTCTAGAGATGGAGATGAAGCAGCCAGAATTTTCCAGTGATGAAAATACACCTCAGCTGCACCGCTCTGTGATGATGAGCTGGTTGCTACTGACTTCCACAGGTCTTGAAGCTGTCGACCTAAAAGGGAAAAGCTCAGGTTGAGTTTGGGCAAAGTTTGAGAACTGCAACTCAGGTGCAAAGTTTCAAGTTGCCCTCATTAGCAAGCAGTTACAAGTAGTTGTTTAAAGGAAAAGAAGAAGCAGTTTTAGAGTTGTTTACCAATAATTTACATTAAAATAATATAAGCTTTTGATTGGCTGTACATTGTTCTTTGTATTACAGATCTCAGGAATATGCAGGTAATGGGTGAGGCAGCTAGTCAGGAACAAAATGCTTTTAAACATGGGGTCTTCTCTGAAGATCCACACTCCTGTCTCACCGGTCCTGATAAAGTTTGATACTTTTAAACATGGGTCTTATCTGAAGATCCACACTCCTGTCTCTGGTCCTGATAAAGTTTAATACTCCCCATAGCTCAGACTGCTCTAAGCTATTTTTCCTTTCTCAGAGTCTTCTAATTTTTTTAATTTTTCTTTATGAGACAAGTTCTCACTCTCTTGCCCAGGCTGTAGTGGAGTACAGTGGCATGACCACAGCTCACTGCAGCCTCGACCTCCTGGGTTCAAGCAATCCTCCTGCCTCATCCTGGCAGAGAATCTGGGACTACAGGTATGTGCCACCATGCCCAGCGAAAGTCTTCTCTCTAGAAAGAAAAATGCATTGGGATTTAGAGGACGCACAAACGTGTAGTTGTGCAGCTAATACAGTAGCCACTATCATGAGTGAGAATTTAAATTTAACTTAATAAAAATTAAATTAAATGAACGAATTCAGTTTTTCTGTTCCATTTGCCACATTTCGATTGCTTAATAGTTGCATGTGGCTAGTGACTACATAAAAGCCCCAATATACAACATTCTATTATCACGGAAAGTTACCTTGCACCAGACACTGAAAGAAGCAATGCAGGCTTCCTCACAAAAGCCGCGAGAGAGCGAGCTCTGGGAGGGTGAAACTCTTTCCTATTCTTAGTTGCTTCAACAAAAATTGGTATCAGGTCCGCACGGCTCACACCTGTAACCCCATGATTTTGGGAGGTTGAGGCGGGTGGATCACGTGAGGTTAGGAGTTTGAGACAAGCCTGACCAACATGGCAAAACCTCATCTCTACTAAAAATACAAAAAGTTAGCTGGGCATGGTGGTTGCACATCTGTAATCCCAGCTACTCGGGAGGCTGAGGAAGGAGACTCGCTTGAGCTCTGGAGGGGAGGTTGCAGGGAGCCCAGATCATGCCCCTGCACTCCAGCCTGGCTGAAAGAGTGAGAATCTGTCTCAAAAATAAAAAACAAACAAACAAACAAACAAAAAACGAATAATTGGTAGCAGAATTACTGTTTGTAATTGGTAGTAATGCCCAGGCAATTGGGTAATCTATGATAGATTCCACTGAAGGAGTATGGAAACTTCACCCCAATATATGGCTCCCAGGTATAATGAGTATTTTGAATTAAAGGCCCGTAGAGATCAGATGCTGGAAGAGATTTTTTCCCATCTACATAAAGACCAGTCAGACAAGCCAAGGAGAACAATTGTCTTTCCTTCCAACCCCTATTATCTCATTTCGTACTGAAGAAAAGAGGACTAAGAATGTAACCAGATCTAATCAGACACTTTCACAAAATAATGTCTGTCTCTCAAGCTCGTTCATTTTCCAAAGAGAATCATTTACAAGTTAAACTCTCTGCTCTCATTCGTTCATCTTTCCAAATATTCATTTATTCTCTCTAGTCATCGTTTACTGCCCTTCAGCATAATTACCTATATTCATATCACCCTTCCTCTCTGAAATAAGGCTATAAAAGTATGTGAGCCCCATTGGAAGAGGGGTAATCACTCTGATTCTACCTTATGTACAGGTTAATAAATTTGTATGCCTTTTTTCCAATCAACCTGCCTTTTGTGAATTCACTTTGCAGCGACCTTTCAAAAGGCAAAGAGGAAGTTTTCCCTTGGCTCCTATACCCATCATGACAATCAAATTTGACTCCACCTCAAACCCCCCCCCCATCCCCCACAAAGAACAACTAACACGGGTTAATAAAGTGGTTTTTTTTTGCTTTTTGTTTTTGCGTTTAGGAACGGAGGTATAATAGGCAAAAGAAAGAGAAAGGAGAACAGTGAATAGGTCTCTCTCCTGCCAAGGCGGGAGGTGGGGGGGGGCACCTAATGACTTCCCTGGCTAATAAGGTCTTGCTAGAGACCCCACAAGGAGGATAATGGAAGCAATCAAGGCAACCAGAAAAACCGGAAGAACAAGTTCATCCTTTTCATGCCCTTTCCCTAAACTGAGGGAGTGAGAACTGCAAAGCGGGCTGCGAAGCAGAGGGTTTGGTCCTGAGAAACAGTTATCTCTTCGGAGCAGAGCTCTTGCAGAACTAGGAAGTTTACTGTTAATATCTCTTCTCCAGGACGGGACCTATCTCAAGTGACAAGTTCAGAGTGATTGCAATATAGAGTTTGCAGACCCAAGGAGGTAGGGAAGGCAGAAAGAAGATGGGGGAAGCCAGGTATTTGGGGTGCTGGACCCCCTAGGCAACGGAGGAGTGACCAGGAGCAAAAAAGTCTGCCCCTTCTGAGAGCGGGCTCTCTCTGCATCCCCACCCCCACCCCACACACCCCTAGCCCTGGGAGCTCCTCTAGGACAGGGACAGAGTTGGGAGGAAGTTTGAGGACAGGCACCGAGTACGCTGTTCTCGTCTCGCAACCAGGTCAGTCTCTTGGAGCCACACAGAGTTTCTTCTGAAGGCGTGCATTCCTCTGCAGGCTACTTCCTCCAGTGACACACCAGGCCCCTCTGCCAGGGGCACTATGCTCCTGGGGAGAAGGGGCTCCCCTCCTTCCAAGGCTCCGGGGTTCCTGTCCTGGGCCCCACTCACCTAACTTCTTCTTCTGAGATTTGATGTAAAGTTTGGTGACAGAAAGGGTGGCAAAAGAGGTGAGCGCTCTAAAACAAAGCTAGTCCAGATCATTTTCAGAGTTTGAGGGTCCCTGTGGTCAGGAAATATATCCTCCGCCCCACCTGCCGCCAGCACACACTCACATATCCACTGAGAAAACCTTGGTCTGGACCTTTTCCGTAACGTACACTGCTCAGACACTTACATATTTGCTGCTAGTCCCCTCCGCAGCTGCCACTTCCTGAGGCCTGGGTCAGGAAGTCAACTCGACTGGATTAAACAGAAGTGAAACTACCGCGGGAGGCGGGGCTCCTAAGATTCGGGAGAAAACTAGTGACGTTGTTCATATATTTGGCACTCAGTCTCTCCTGTAAAGGAGGAGGAAACGTAGGAAAAAATATCCTTCTTTTACAGCAATAAAAAGAAGGAACCAATTCATAACCCAGTAAACTAACATGTGACCAAACGAAGTATGCAAAAGCAGGAAGCCTGCGGAGAATCAGTTCACAGACTCGGATCTGAGATCTTTCTACTTTTACCACCAACTCCCCTGGGAGTCCTTAAGCCTTCCTAGCTGATGTTATTATTATTTTTTTTTTTTTCTATTTCTAGGTTGCTTATGGTTTTATAACTGCTCTGAAGGGTGGTGGAAAAGGGGTGGTAACAGCAGTAAGGCTCACTGGCATCTGAGTCAGCCTTCTATCTATCTTCTCTGTCCCATTCTGTGTCTCCTTTTTCTCCTTACGGTCCTGCAGATCTCAGATCTTTTTCAATTGCCAGGGTCAGCCACCCAGGACAGATAATGGGAGTCACTAACGCAGCAGTGAGTGCCCCCATTGGCTTAGAGCTGTGTGGGATCCCTGAGACCATTGCTCTGCTTTGTGCTCTGTGGAGGAAAGACTGGGGGTCCCCGGTCAAGTCCTTAATGACTCAGCTCCAGCTTCTCCACTTCAAAATGAAAGTACCATCACCACGCAAGTTAGAATGATTACTTCATGGGGAAGAAAGATGCATTACTACCTCACAGTAAGAGCTTATCACATGTATAAGTCTGAGTTATAAGAGGCATTTATGATAAGAACATATTAAACGCTTGCTTAAGTAGATGGAGTGGTCCAAGGGAACCAGTAAGGGGAGCTCAGGACACCGGTGGGTGAGAAGTCAAACTTGAATTCTGGGAGCCACTGGGCTAACTCTGGGCCCCTGGTCTGTCTGATCAGGTGCTGACCCTAATAGCCATGGGAATATGGAGTTTGGCCCAGCTGCAGTCCCTCTGGTCCAACTACTCGAAATAAAGTCAAGGTTGTGAAACAGGTTCCTTTCTTCCTACACCAAGCAGAAGCCTCTTCAGCACTGCACCTTCCTGGATGCTCACAGAGCCTTCTGCCATTTTGCCACCTATGATTCATCATGCTCTGGCATGATAGTAGCAGACCCCATGCACAGCATGGGACATTCTACTCCTGAGGCAACCAGGACACACAGAGAGGAGAATCCTTGGCCCCACAGTGAGTCTTTGCAGATATCTACGACTTTCATTGTTGTGGACGTGACTCTATCCAGACATGCTCATTCCAGATCTGCCCTGTTGTCAGAGGTGTTTGAACCAGAATGACTCCATTTTGAATGGGGGCTGAGTAAATAAGGCTGAGACCTACTGGGCTGCATTCCCAGAAGGTTACACGTTGTAAGTCACAGGATGAGAAGGGTCACTGGCAAAAGATACAGGTCATAAAGACCTTGCTGATAAAACAGGTAAAGAAGCCAGCCCAAACCCACCAAAACCAAGATGGCAACAAGAGTGACCTCTGGTCATCCTCCCTGCTCCTTATACACTAACGTGTTAGCATGATAGAAGGCACTCCCACCAGCTCTATGACAATTTACAAATACTATGGCAATGTCAGGCAGTTACCCTATATGATCTAAAAAAAGGAGTAACCTTCAGTTCTGGGAATTGCCCACATCTTTCCTGGAAAAGACATGAGTAATCCACCCCTTGTTTAGTACATAATCAGTAAATAAACTATAAGTTTAACTTGTTTAGTACATAATCAGTAAATAAACTATAAGTATCTGCATCACCCCATTTTCACACTGCTAATCAAGATATACCTGAG